CAATTTTGTCAATATAAATTTTTATATATATCAAGGATTTATATTGTCCGTAACTTGAAAAATAGTTTTGCCCTTCAGAGGTTGACCGGATGTTTATATACTTTCAATAACTATCTGATCTTTCAACTTTAATGTTTAAATCGAACATAAGATCTTTGTACTTCTATTAATCTATAATAAATGTCTGAAAATATTCATTAAATGAATCAAACAAGGAATCTAGCCAGTCTTTGTCTTTTTTCAACTAAAGTCTGTGAAAGTACATCCTCCAATCCAAATTATCATTTAACTTTTGTAGCGTAAATTACTAAAGATGTTTAAAAACCAACAACCATGAGTTTCACACAAGTGATGTTAAGCTAAAATAACAAGAAATGTTTTTTCAACATGTTTGAAGTATATATTGAATTCGCATGATGTATCATAACCTACGCATACAGTACATACACAAAAAAAAATCAGATGCAAAACACACCTGCCATAGAAGTGAGAGGTTAAGCTAGCTATAAAACCAGATTAAATTCACCATTTTATTTGGAAAATGCTTGTGCGAAGTCAAGAATATGACTGTAGTTTTCCATTCGTTTCGTTGGTTAATATAGTCAAGTGTTTGCTTTTATCAGGTTTTATGGATTTCCACTTTTTGAATTTTTACCTTGGAGTTCGATATTTTGTTAAAAATTGTTTCTTGAATTATATAAAAAAAAAGGTGGATTTATTTAAAGAAAAAATAATTTATATGTTGAAAAATTATGATAGTATAAATTAGAAGAGAAGCTATCTCACGGGAAAACAACCCGTGATTTTACAATATAAATTCATGTACTACCAGCTTTGGGTCACTTCTATTGCTTTCAATCAGTAGTTGGTTATTTGTGTCGTTAAGTTACTGTTTTAATGACGTTTACCCATACAATCATTCTATTCATATATTAACTATGGATGCCTTTTATCTATCCCTACTACTCTATCGTATGTCCTTTAATTAGTAATATCCAAATCAATGAACTTTATTTCATCCTTAACATCATAAAACATGATTAAGTTCTTTGGTTTCAGGTAAAAGACCGATCGAAAAAACTACAAAACGCAAACGACTTTGATATATCATATAACTGCGTGACTATATTTTGTCCTTTGATTTTGATTTTGTATATCTATATCTATGAAACAAGCTAATACGTGAATTTAAAAGAATAGGCGAATAAGAAATACGTCGTGGTTAATCTGTATTTTTCAACATTGATTTTTCATTGCTTCATTTCTCATTCAGCCAATATTTAGGGTTAAAAAAAGTTACATTACTGATGGTTTATGAATTTGGTGATTTCTAATCACTTGATATAACTTATCAACCTTACCAACATATTTAATAGGACTAACACGACATGTTTCACATGTGGAGCAGGATCTGATAATATTTCCGGAGCACCCAAGATCACTTAAGGATTTTATAAGGGTTCATGTTTAGTCTTCTATGTTATGTTTTGTAGTTTGTTTTTGTCTTTTGGTGGTTTTTCTTTTTTGCCATGTGCTGTCGTCAGTGTGTCTTCGACTTATGAGACTGAGTATCCCTCTAGTGTCATCCGTCTGTCTTTTATAACGATAATTTATGTTCTTAAATTGAATCTCCGATTTCCCAGAAGAGTATGCACACCATCGTTTACAATCATAAACCTTTGTGAGTACCGTGTGCTGAAACACCAAATAGAGCAAAAATAAAAGACGTTTTGAATATGTTAAACATCTCAAGAGGTCATAGTGAATAATATGCACATGTCTAAAAATCATAAAGTGATGTTTTAATATCATTTGTTTTAATTTTGTGGTTCTCGTTTATGATGCTCTAAGTATACGTGAAGACGTTTTCAGTGAAGTTTCATAACTTTGAATATCTTCAATAATTGTAAGACACCGCACTCGTTATACAGTCGCGTAATCAATCGTGCAATAGCTCATTAACCAATTAGTCTAACAACAACAAAACATTCAAGGACAATACTCTTTCAAGTAAATTTTTATTTATCATCTTATACTTTCTTTTAATCAACTACAGATGCTATAGTTTGAGCTCATATGTCAATTTAGATTGTTGCCAGTTTTGACTTTGACAAATTCACTTAAATCAATGTCACTTTTCTAACAATTTTCAGCTAATTATATTGTGGTTTAGTCCATGAAATTGTTCCCTTAAGCACAAGATGATTCAGTTTGAGTTCTAAATTCTTGGTAAACAACCCCTGAACTAAGTCATATGTATGCTAACAATAAAATTCAATTATGAATATTAAAATTATTCTTTTCAATAAATATTAACAAACAATTACTGAACATGATGAAACCATTATTTATATAATGAAATCTATTATCAGCTTATTGACAAAATGCAATTATTGTCCAGAATAGTCACATTTTGCAAAACCAGTAATGATATATTATAGTAATGATATATTATTGAATCAAACTTGAATATTGGAAACCTTTGTGCCAACGGTGTCAATAGTTCATATGTAGTTATACTTTTATTCAATTAATAACCTGAAATGATTAACTTTCACACATAAAAAGACATGAACATGACTTTTGTGTCCTTCATTTTGATTTCGGTTTTTGTCATTAATATTTCTATATTGAAACAATTCAGACATTGAAGGAGGCTAATACATGCGTTTCTAGAGAGGCTTTTAAACGAATATAACCCGGTGTATTTCGTGTTTTCCTTGAAACAGAAGACAAACCTATTTGAAAATGTTCCATCACCAATAGCAAATGCATTATTGATTGATTGATAGAAGTTTTCAAATATTTCATGCAGGACGAGATCAAATCATTTCCATTTTACATCTCTCTTCGACTTATTATTGTTATTGATCATTTTGTATATTCCTATTTTTGTAATTATTCCAACATTTTTCGCTCATTAATTCATTAATGTAATGATTTGATTGTGGAAAATTCTTCCAGTTATCTATATTTAATTTCTTAAATTCTAATATTTATTATTTCATATCGCACACTATGCGCCTACAGCGAACAGGAGGTAATCTTTCGTAATATTTTATAGGACAATATGATAACAGTATATAAATATGATGTTTGCTAAAAATGAAAACAACACGCACAAATTTCATGCGTACGAAGAGCTTTTCTGGATTTACCTTTATCAGGAACGCTCAAAGCCGAATATTTGAAAGCCAAGGATTTACTTCTATTTACCGAAAGGTTACGTCGCATACTTTGATATGCTGGTTCATACGGAAACAATCAACAAGAAGATTTGTTATCCAACTCGGACACATTCCTAACTCTGAACAGACTGATTAGACTTCGCTTTTCTTCTTATTTATAGACCATTAGGAGGAGTAGCAGCAATTCCCCTGACAGGGCAAGCGACTTCTTACCAAAGCCAATCAAAGGGCCCGGTACGACGAGCTGAATGTTGCCAATTATTTCAAAATGGCATAGATATGGCAGAAATAAATTGTTTAACGAGTAATACACCAGAAATTTGCCTTTTCATTTGAGTGCATTATTTGAATTTTAGTTATTTGTCCAATAGAAAATCCACTGTAAAACTTGCAAAATAAATTCTGGACGAGAAGATATTGATACTTAACTCGACAAAATTTTATTTTTAGAAATCATCATATAAATTTGAAGACAAACCATAGGGTAACAAGAAAATGTGTCAAAAGGACACCATGCCCCGATCGTATTATCATAAGTCATGTTCTGTGAGGCAAAATAACTGTGTCAAACCCCTAATATGGCATATATTTTTTTAAAGTTTAATTTGGCATATGTTTTAAAAGTTTATTTAAGGAATGACTGTAATATTTTTTCTGTCTATGAGGAAATAACATCAAAAATGTGGTGCACACTGAATAACCCGCGTAGCGGGTTATTTTAAAATGTGCACCACATTTTTTATGTTATTTCGAATAGACAGAAAAAATATTACAGTCATTTCTTATAATTTAATTCTAAATTCCATTTCTAACCGGAGTAAACCATGAAAAAACGTTGATGACGTCACGGTCACATGACAAAATTATGTCTATGAGCTGATAAACAAAACAACGTCAGCCAATCAGAAGATGCGTTACATCCAAAATTAAATTATATCACAATGAACATTTTTGCTAAGTTTTAAGCTGATATATCAATAACTTGATGGTAAACTACCATTAACCACAACTTTGACCTTATAAGGGACGCACGGAACGGAAAATATAATCCCCCGACTTTCGTTGGCGGGCTTAAAAATACACGAGTAATACTTAGTCAACACAGCATGATGGTATTGTGATGGCATGCTTAAATGCTTTGATGGTCAAAATAATGTTTAGTGATTTAGATTTGGCCATGGATCTTTGTTGTTGCTTTATATAACATTTATATGTGAAGGACACTATAAATACTCACATTCATATAATCTTTACGCATTCAGGGTACAATTGCATCTTTTCAAATAAGCCGAAACTGACAATTCATAAGCGGTTAAACTAGCAAATGAAAACAACCCTTTATTTTAAATAAACTGCAAATTCCTACTGTACGATTTGAAAATCGGCAAACTACTGCTGTTGCCTAAATTTACGTCATTTTTAAAAAATTCAATCTAAAAATTAGATCTTCCCAACTTCATTTTTACGAATAAAAACTTACATCTTTTTTTAAATATTCATTGTTAAATGAATCTTAAGACACTGATATTAGTTTAATGAAACGTTTGTGGCTAAATTGATCCTCCATGACCACACCATCTGAGTCGTCCTGGCTTCATGTCCCAGTCCAGTCGTTTTTCCATTTTATTTATTACTTTCATATGTTCCTGAATGGTACTTAGAGTAGTTGTTAATAGATATGTGTTGTTTAATCAAAACTTTTCATGGTAATAGTAGAAATTATACGATAAATTTATAATTTCTTAACCATTTAGACATTAAATTCATAACTAAAACTGCCACAAAGAATAAAGCAAAAAAACACAACCTTACCTTGGAAAAAAGCAACAAACTTGCACAGGAATTTGCCGTATACCCATAGTCTGTAGATGATGGTTCCTAACGATGTTGGCATACAACATAAAGTCACTGCTAAATCTGCAACGGCCAAATTTATCAAAAAGTAATTTTTAGAATGTTGAGATTGTCCATTTCTTATCGTTGTGACGATGATCAGAGCATTCCCAAGAAGTCCGATAAAAAAAATAATAACATACAAACTTAACAGAACAATTGTTGAATATTCATGGATAGTGAATTGCTTTTTCTGGAATTCTTCAAAAACACTTCCCGGGTCAGAAAAATTATATGGCGAGTCCTGATTCCCTGTTATGTTGGTCCGTGATATAAAATCTTTGTAAGCAAACCAATCTGCAAGTTGATCCATACCAATAACATGCTTCCCATCTGCAACCTTGAAGAAGAATGTAACCAATATTAGTTGCCTTTATGACTTAACTGACAAGCCGCTGACAATTATATAGCATAAGCTTCCATTGTTATACCAAAGATTTACGTCAAAGAAGATCTCATTCAGATAGTTATGATAAATTATCGATGATGTGAAGAGAATTTAATTTAAAACAAGCCAATATTGATACGAGCAAATATCACTAAATGTTTACTGATTAATTCAACAAATATACCTTTTGCAAAAAAGTCTTCTTATTTTGTACAATTTAGTAGTAAACTACTGGTCGTTTTTTTACAATAGTGTTTGTTCGTCTATTTATATTCAGTTCCTTATCGAATAGCGATACTGGAATCGATTTTGTCAACCAATCCGGTATTTAATACAAGAGTTATGAGATAAATCAAGTACTATTACCATTAATTGAAGAACAAATAAATAAACAAGTCAAGGAAATGAACATTGACATATAAATTGTTAATGTAAAATTCTAAGCTTTATTTGTTTAAAGAAATTTACTGATGCGGAAACAGTTTTATGTGTACTTTTCGCTGCTTTAAATATTATGCTGACCACAAATCCATAGACTTTAAACTTTTACTCAGAAATTAAAATTTTTAAGATAACTGTGAACGTGCATTTTTCACCACTCTACTGAAAAATAGAGGCGAAGGATACCAAAGGGACATTCAAACTCATAAGTCGAAAAATAAACTGACAACACCCTGGCCAAAAAAAGAAAAAGACAAACAGTACACAAAACACAACATAGAAAACCAAAGACTGAGCAACACGAACCCCATCAAAAACCGGGGGTGATCTCATGTGCTCCGTAAGGGTCAGTAGATCCTGCTCCACATGTGGCACCTGTCGTGTTGCTCATGTTAGTACAAATCCGGTGATAAGTCCAATTCGGTAGGTAACATTCGTGAAAAAGGGGACGGGATTGTAGTTACGACAATTAGAACATATCCGTTGTCATCTGTGAAACGGATATTCCATAACGGTCAACCAACTCGTGATGGCGTCCGTACAATTTTCGAAGGGACGATTTCAACTTCACCGCTTGGAACACTGGGTTTAATAGCTTCTTTGTGAGCAGCAACTCTCTATCAAGGAAATCATGATAGGAAATACAAGCCCTGGAATATTGTATCAACTGGGAGATATATATTCCGTATGAAGGTGCTGCTGGAATGTTGCTACATAGAAATGGGAAGTTCACAATTGGGAAGCTGAAATCATCTCTTTTGTCGTAAAGTTTTGTTTTCAACCGACCATCATTGTCAATTTCTAGTTTTAAGTCAAGATATGAGGCAGACTTAACTGTATCTGTTGTATCTTTTATTTCAAGTTCGATGGGATAGATGTGTTCAACATAGTCACCAAATTTTGAATAATTTAGTGAGAGAACATCATCTATATAGCGGAAAGTGAAGTTAAAGGATACTACTAAGTTCTTTTCTTTCTTCCTTAGAAGTTCCAGTAAGAATTCAGCCTCATGTGAATAAAGGAACAAGAAGTGGGGCACAGTTGGTTCCTATGTGAATGCCGATTGTTTGTTGAAAAAAAAGTCCTCCGAACGTAACAAGTATGTTGTCAATGAAGAAATCAATCATCTTGATAATGCCAGTTTCAGAGAATGTTTTGTTTGAAAGAGAGATTGTTCGCTTGCAATTTGTTCTGACATAATATATTTCTATGTATGTTTTGTTTCATTATACTAATTTTGAACGCTATAGCAATTATTTCATACAAGATTTTGTTTTAATTTTAAACTGTGAACAAAAAACGTATATTATCTTTTTGTCCCAACGGGTCATGTTACATGTAGCTACACAAATGTATCACTGTGACCATTATTAAAATAGAGGGTTAGATGCAAGTATTATTCTAATGTCTTGACATATAAGATAGGAGTTATTGCACATTATTGACGATTTAACCACTTTTAAGGGTTTTTTAATTATCTTGAAAACTATTATAGATTGACAGAAATTGTATATATATTATATAACTACATTAAATATTCCAAACGAATATACAATTATATCTAGCAAAGACACCAACAAAAAATTTTTTGTTGCTAATAGTATAAATAGTGTAGTACACTTTAGTAAAACATAATGTAATGACATTAACGGTACCAATTTTTCTGTACCAGAGGCGCATTTCGACAATAAATGTCTCTTCAGCATATATAGACTTTCCCGATAAGTACAAAGCAAGTAAAATATAAATACGAGAGTTCACAAAAAGAAAAGAAAAACCATTAACACTTTCATACGTCCGAAGTGCCCCTCGGACCTACCCGCATCAAGAAGGCCCCTTAAAAACCCGAAAGCCGGATCCACAAAAACTGAGCCACCTAAAGAGTCGTCTGACCGAAAGGGACATGACAAAACTAAAAAAAATAAAAGGAAAATAGCAAAAGTGAATAAAATGATACATAACGTCAGAACCTAAAATCTATAACTCAAGACCATCCTGTATCATTTGTAAAGTTGAAACTGAATATTTATTTATAGGTTATGGTCCCTTCAAATTTACTTTTTGAGAAAAAGGACGAGACGTTTTTTGACGAAACCCTGACTCATTAACTTTTTGTTCAGAAACCGAAAGCGTTTTACAAAGTCTCGTCTTAAATACCGCATGGCTTGAGAAATATATACTCCATATGTGGATGAAGGTGGTATATAATTGCTGCTAAGGTGAGGAAAATTAATAATTTAAAAATTGAAATCGTCTCGTTTGTCATAGACTATAGTGCTGAGATGACTGCTGGAGTCAAATTCAAGGTATATATCTAAAAATGAGGCGGAGTCAGCTGTATATGTGCTTTCTTTAATCTTTAGTTCAGGAGTATATTATATTAATTGGACCCTATCAGAAGAGTTTGGCTTGTTAATGGAGAGAACAACGTCAATATATTTGTATGTGACATTAAGATCCAGCTTCTTTGATCTTGTTTTTACAAGTGTCTCGGGAACTCCGACTGGTATGAAAAAAGGAAAAGTCTGGCAATGATAGGCGCATAGTTGGTCCGCTGTATTATAGTTGGACAACCTGATTGAAAATTCTACCTCAATATTCATAAACAATGCGTACAATGAGAAACTCCTGCACACTAATCATTTGTTCTTCGGTGTAGCAAGTTTTATCCTGGGTTTCAAAATACTAGTATCCCGAAAGATTAAATTTGTAGCGTATGGTACCCTTTTTTGAAGAACGGGATTGTGGATTATTTATTTTAAACGGCTTTTTAATTTGTCATGTGATATGATGGTGTGAAGGGGGGGAAATCGAAGGTTTGATCGAGTTTCCACAAGTTGTTTATATTTCTAAGAATCTTCATACGGTTAATGTCACTACGCGAGTAAACATGATTAAAGTATTTCTGTAAACCCTCGGTCACTGGGGGTCAAACTTTTGGTCAATCTAACGGACAATTCCTTAGAAGAACATGACGATGAGTCGGCAATTTACAGTTGCTTGACGGAGTTTTGTTAAGTTTAGGAATATAATACAAACAAAGTAAGTCATCGAACGTGCTGCTCAATTCAATTCAATGATGTCATGAAGAAATTGTGATTGCGCCAAGAAATCATCTTTATCAAAAGTTATGTTTTGGTTTGCGGGATCACCCGAGTGTTTATTTATTTCTTATTCTTTCATAAGACACTCTTAGTTATAGGATTTATAGTTTATATAGTTTTTTGAACTTGTGGATTCTACGTCGTATCAAAGACGTAAATGCTTTCACACATTATGGCAGAGTGTCTTGTTCAACATATAAATCTCGTTATGCCCACGTAGTTCTCAACAGAATTCATATCTATCTTAAAGCTATGGTTCAATTGATGGGTTGGGGCTCTCTAAATTTAGGACCATATTTACATGACTGAAACTGCCAATTGACTTTTTATTATACTTATTGCCCTTAAATGACTATTTTACCCACCCTTTCTAGTTTTTTTCTTAAAACAAGATTTCAAATTCTTAAACTTCTGATTTCGTCCCCACGTAACTTTTATAATAGTGCACATAAAGTTACGCTTGTAAAAGATAGCCCGGTCTATTAACCAATATGGCCTCACAACTAACAAACAACAAAAGAGATAAAATGCAAATAGCTCTCAAATATCTTACACACTTTAATACAAACTTCGCACTAAAGGAAAGAAAATTATATAGGCCATGATTTCACTTGACCGCACTAGCAAAGCTGTATATTTGCCAAAAGAATAATACCGTATATATTCAGGAATGCATGATCGAAAAAAATGAAAATGTTATGACTGTTGTATAATTTTGCTAGTTGAGCTCTCACAGAACATTCTCGATTTTTAACATTTCTGATTTTCGAATAAAGTACTTGATGCAAACTAGTTTAAAAAAAATAATTTGAACAAACATTAAACAATTTGTTAATATAAAGATAGGAAGATGTGGTAGGAAAATGGCATGGAAGTTAACAACTATAGGTCACCGTACGGCCTTCAACGATGAGCAGAACCCATACTGCATAGATAGCTATAAAAGGTCCCAAAATGACAAATGTAAAACAATTCAAACGAGAATTTAAACTGTAATTTGCTTTCCTTTGACATTTGAACAAGGAAAAGCATCAAATTTAAATGAAAGACGATTTAACATAATACGAGAAAACGTTTTAAAGAAAACCTTTTGGGATTTCAACTGTTAAACATTGATAAAATATTTTATCAATACGATCACATAAAAGACATACCATAACGAAGCATCATGCTATGTATTGAAGCCGTTTCACGATAATCTAAAGACAAAACTCCAGACAGTGTGATAGTTAAGTAATAATATTGTCTTTCCTGATTTGAAAAGATTGTCTCATAATACGAGGTTTTAGTTTTATGATCATCGATCAATTTTTTGAAATATAGGATTTAAACCGTATAATCTTGATGACTACTTGTGGCTTGCCACGTGTCTGCTCGAAGTAATGCTGTGTGATCAATTACGTAAAT